TATTTATTTTTTATATAATTTTTTATTTTAATTTGGAATTTATTATTAAAATATATCTATTACTTTATTGAAAAAAAATTAACTTGATGCTGCTATGTATTAACACGCATATGTTTTGGGGCAATATTATTCATTCTAAACATAGATAATAAAATATATTATATTAATAAATACACTAAATTTGTATAGTATATTGAACGAATATGCATTAAAAACCATAAAAATGACCCAATATAATGCTCTTAAAATATAAAAACGCTGATATATGCAAAAAAAATGCAAAATAAAATGTTAGCTTTGAAACACACTCGTTAGTTCGTTACATGAAACGAATTTTATAATTGGAAAGCATTGTCTATGATCAATCAAAAAAAGATGCACTTTGCATTGAAATCCGGGCCCTATAGTTATCAGATATATATTATTATGTGTATAGATTTTTAGGAACACTACAGCAATGTTTTTCTGAAAACAATTTTCTAGGGTGTTTTAAAGTACTATCAAAAAATAGTTTGAAATAATAGTATTATGTTCTCGCAATGTTTCTTTATGACTTAAAATGTTCATCTGGTTAAACCTCCCTTCCCTATGAAATATATTCATWAATAATAATTATAATCTATACAAAAATATATTCTATTATAGTTTACAAAATTGGAAATACTTAATGCTCCTTCATATTTCAAAAAATTTTGTAAATACATTATTGTTACCTAGGTACTTAAGAATATATCGATTTCGATATATCGACATTATGTTATAATATAATTTAAAATATTAAAAATATTAATTTTGAAACTAAAATTAAACATTTTGTTCGATGTTTTGAATTTAGTATCTATTTTCTAAACAATTTTAAATTAAAAAATATAAATTATAATACTATCCACTGTACCTGTACGTTTCCTGCTATAATACGATAAAATCCTAAGCAAGGTCCAAATAATATCCTATACTATCAATATTATGTAAAATAATAATAAATCATAGGTTAGTTACTGTCGTTGATGTCAATAATAGGTACCCGCATGCACTATATTATGACAATCATGTCAATACTTATATCATCTCAGATTTATATCGGTGCCGAACAAACGTAAAGATCACTTATTTTTCATAATTTCAAGTGAATTATAAAATCAAAGTGTTTACTCCCGTTAGTTAATCTGTTATGCCGGTCGTTCCAGTCGATATATTTAAAAGTATTATAAATACATTTTATAATATTACGTTAGTACATTTAACGATGATCGTTCCGAATTTGACGTGATGAAAGTATTATTATAAGTTAAAACTAAACATAATGTGTCCCCATAGCTTTAAGATCAATACTCTATGACTACTATTTTGTATTTTGTATTTACTGCAGGCTAAATAACCTCAGGAGTTGAAGCCTTATTTAAATWAAAAAAAAWAATAATAATAATAATAAAGTTATCACCTGCACGACTTCTTCAGACTCGACCGCGGCCCCCAATCCAAAAACTGTCTCGTGTAGGTGTAGCACACTATCGATATGCTATGCACTGAGAATTATATAAATATTTCAATTTAATTAGACATTGAGACACAGAAATAACCGAATACAATGCAGCATGACCAGCATGTACGTTATAGGATATTTACGAAACAACCCGCCGCCACAACGATAAGTTGTTAACGTGTTTTTCAACGTTCAATCGTTAGAACCTGGCACGTATTGGGCATACCTACCAACTACCAAGTCATAATATTATTAATAATGCGACACATTATTATTATTATAGGCATGCAGTAGCAGCCGGCAGTGCGCATGACGGTGTATATTATTATAGTGATCTATAAAAAGACTGAACTTCTTTAGATAAAATAAAAAACCCGATTTTTCTTAAATCTTTCGTGTGTGAGCTGAACGTTATTGTATGCGTTTGATTTTTTTTCATCCTAATCCTATTCCTACCTTCCTGGACAGCTGAATGTGTATATATATACATTATAATATCGTTGTTTTTACACCGTTCGTAATTATTTTTACTCCTGAGTATAATATTGTTTTTTAAGAGCATCTGGTATATTATATTATATAATAATAATAAGTCTTTTAAAGCCCACCCATCACGAGGACGGTGATAACACGATTATAATAATGATTATTGTGTATTATTTTTACAATTTAATCATTATTATTGTTATGAGAAAAACATTTTTTCCTTTAGATCATCCTGGTCCTTGTATGTTTCGAATAATATCTATATTGGTTTAAAATTAAAATTAAATTTAAAAAAGAATATTTTTATCTGAACAGAGAAAGATTTTATTATTGTAGGCCACACAATCGATAAATATTTGTTGCAGGCGATCGACGGATTGTATTGGATGAATTTATATCGACAGTTCGTCAGGTTCAGCTAAACAAATATTACGTATTATATCGAGTGCGATTTGGTTGGGAAGAATTAGCCACGAATTTTGACAACAATCAAACCAGACGTTTCATAACTGATACTGCATCTAAGGTGATAATATATAGGTGGCATTGAAATTGTACTTATTAAATTGTAAGCCATGCCATCTGTTGTCACGAAACTGCATGCACCTAAGTTAAATCTCCCCTACCAGGACGTGTACAGAAGGGATGATTCCCCCATGACTTTTTTGTTTTATTTTTTTCGCTGGAAATTATCAATACGTAAAACTACTTTTTGCAGTACATAGGTAATAGATATTGGGTTTTTTTCCACAGATTTTAACACCTTCTCCCCATACAAAATGTACATATTATACACCACTGCTTCCGTGAATACTTACCAGCAGATAGACTGCCACTGTTGTTGAATATTTAATTAGAATTTAGATGTTAAACTGGTGTAAAATTTATTTTAAAATCGCACCCGATCCATTCGATTCGTAACACTCATACATTTTCACGCGTATACGGGGAAATTCACCAAGCATGGCATTGCTCACCCCATTATTTAATTTATTAATTAATATATTCAATTTATTTTTAATTTTAATATAAATATCGATTTTTGGAACCTACTAAAAATATTTTATTTTAAAATTTTTGAGATTTTTTTACTAACTACTTAAGAAATGGCGATACACATTTCTGTTTTTCAAATGAGAGCTTCCTCTTTGTTTTACTGTAAATTATTATTCAGTGGATCGTTTTTTTTTTTTTTTTAAATGTTTGATCTTTGATGTATTTAATTCAAAATTGTGAGTGGTTTCTCGGTTATTAAAATATTGATAATTAGGATAATAATCCTAGAAAAAAGTTTTACAACATTATAAAATATAATATGGTATACCTATATTGGATCTAGTAATTATTATATTTAGACTATATATTGTATGATTTATGATTTTTAAATATCAATGGATTAATATTTATTACTAGGTAACATTTTAAAATTCCCATGGGGGGTTATATATACTACGCATAGTCCCAATATCTACAAAACCTATTGGTTATTAATTATTATGATATCGACCTATTATCTTTAATAGGTATACGAAATTAAATAACTCAAAACTATTCGTTCAAACTTTAATTGTAATACGTTTAAGTTTTCAGAAAAAATTCCTGCGTTTCATTTGAAAAATAAAATTTTGTATCTGTACTGAAACTTCTTGGAGAGTACTAAAAATCTAATAAATGTGAAAATATAATGTTTGTATATGTAGAGGTATTAATTCAGAATTTGAATAAATTCATTATTAAATGAAAAATGGGGGTGATCGTAATTGATGAATCACCTTGTATCATTATTCATTGTGATGACGTGTACGCTCTGAAAATGATCAAATGTAAAATAAAATAATATAATATAAGAGTGCGCGTGATAACTCTTTTGCACAGCGACGACGATTCGTGTGGTGCACATTTTTTTGACATGTATAGGGAATTCGGAATGGATTATTATTATTTTTATCATTATTATTATTATTATTATTGMGCGAGACGCCCACGGTCCACCATAAGCCATAACTAACCATAACTAAATATTATATTATATACCTTTATTGTATTAAGTGTGTTCGAACGATATGTTGAATATTCCGCCGCTGCAGCTTCAGTGTCTTCTCCCGGCACCACTGGAGCGGAATGATATACAGTGCAAAATGACAATCACGCAAATGATTGTTTATTTTTTTTTCGTCCCCACAATAAGGCGAGAAAAAAAAATCGTGTAGACAAATATTAATAATGCGACATATATTATACGCATATATTTCTTTCTCACTTTATTTCTTACTTGCGTCGTATAATTTTAGATTCTGAGCGGAGCGATGTATATTATGTTGATAAAATTAAAGATATTAAAGTAAAAATTTTAAGTAGATTTTTAGAATAAAAAAAAAATGCCTTGATTTTCAACTCCAGCGTCTTTTCTGATGATTAAGTGTATCTAGTTGGTACTTTTTATAGGCCAAAATTTAAAATTCACAACAGTTTTCCCCTACAAAAAAAGGTGCAGAGCAAGTGGTTACCGCTCTGCTGTTCTGTAGAAGTTCAAAAGGGGTTGCTGTAACGGATGTTAAATTTGAATTCAAAACTAATATAAAATCATTGTATGCGAAAAACGATTACTGAATGGCTCAAGTAGCTATGATAAGGAATTTAAAACAGTTTTCAGAAGTCTTTGACGTATTCGTCATTGATGTGTGAGCACATTCAGCGCGTGCGTAGATAGTTCGGTACACATATACAATCTCACACTCACACTAGGTACTCATCATTATAAACGACTATCACAATTGATGTAATAATGAGCGACACGATAACATTATTGCATATTGTCTAAATATTGACCCTTATTAAGACACACGAGCAGGCCACTAAATTTAGAATGATGTAAGCTTACAATAATCTTTATGTAATACAAATAGAAGTTGTACACCAACACAGTTCAAGCAAGGCTATGAATTTACAAAATAATTAAAAATCGTTTGCATATGTTTTTTAGCCAATATAGCCATAGAAAAGACTTTACGTTTGATGACTTCGTTGTAAAATATATAAATATCAATATAAGATATATATGTATGTATGCATATACAAGGTGATTCACCAAGCATGCTCGCCTTCTTTTCTTTAATAACAAAGTTATTCAAAATCTGATTTTTGGAATTATTATATATACTCAAAGACCACATTTTAAAATTATTGAGATTTCTTGTACCATTAAGGAGTGTCTTGTGGCGATACAAACTTTTGTTTTTCAAATGAAAACTCCAATTGTTTACTATAAGTTATCTAGCGAATATTTTTTTTTCGAGAATTTTGATGTATTGAAATCAAAATTCTAATGAGTAGTTTTTGAGTTATTTAACTTTGTTTTCTAAGGATAAACTAGGTTAATGGTTTAGGTTTATAAGATATGTGCAGGTCTATGGTGGATTTGAAAATATTAGTCATTAATATTAATCTATCAAAAAAAAAAAAAATTGTATAAAGACCTAAATATCATAAATAATAGTTCCAATAGTTCATGTATTTTATACTTTTTTAAAACGATTTTTAAGGACTATTATCCTTAGTACCAAAATTTTAATTACTAGGAAAATACTCGTTTGAATTTTGATTTCTATGCATCAAATTTTTCAAAAAAATTTAATAAAACTAAATAATTTACTGTAAAAAGGGAGGTTTTTATTTGAAAAACAAAAGTTTGTATCACCACAAGACACTCCTTATGTGGTACAAAAAATCTCAATAATTTTAAAATAAGGTTTTTGATTATATTTAAAGATTCCAAAAATCAAATTTTGAATTACTTCATTATTAATGAAAAAAGGAGGTGAGAATGCTTGGCCAATCACCCTGTAAATATGTATATAGAAATGCGCATATAATTATTGCGGCGTTAGTATAGTTTATATCAATTTCATAAAACGAATATAAATCAGCTAGCGTTCAGAAGAAACTTTTCGCATCCGCGTTAATTATATCATGCAAGAAGTATAATACATTAATACTGCACTACTGCAGGCGTTTAATAGTAGTGAATATATATATATATTATGAAATATTATTTTCACGACGATAGAACGGATAATATGCCACGAAAAACCGGGAAAAGAACTAAGAACTGACGGAAAATTATACAATATTAACGTGTCAGAACCTCAGAACTCGTGTACCTATGTTATAACACGAATAACGTGTTATTTATGTACGGTTTTTTCTATTCGGATAATAACGAACGTAATATACTAGTATATCATAATAATTGTAAAATATGCACACGATAGGCAATATAGTAATAATAATAATAATAATAATATAATAGTGCGTATATATTTATTTTATATTATTGTTATATTGTGTATAATATAACTTAAACTATATATCATGTGGAAAATGCTTTTATAAAATATTATATTATCCTTTTCGAGTTAGACACATTTAATACACCGTTCGGCGAACACATAACACAAAGTTAGGTTAAACATAAATTTGTAATACATTGGCAAAATGTACATTTGAAAATTTAGGATTTATGTTCCATTATAATATACAGGGTATAATAGAATGATCTGTCAAATTTAAATTTAAAAATAGATACTATACTTAAATGCATGAAAATTGTACGGATAATAAATAATTTAAGATTTACTTTTATATATAAATTTATTAAGGCTAAAATTGAGTTTACTTTAAAAAAAAAAATATTGGTATATTTTAAACTGGAATAAAAC